ACCACAACACGTAAGCAAGACGTGGCAGACTGTGGCACAGACAGAGGAGTTGGAGATGCACGTACGTGGTGTCGCTGAGGTCAAAGGTGGAGAGCTTGCGGTTGAGGGCATCGATGTCCACCACGCTCGCCTGCGCCCGCGATCTGCGCGGAATCTTGCAGCCTCGGTTGTTGTTTGGCATCTCTTGCACTTGGGGATTCGATCCCAACAACTGCATCTCATTGTTGAGGATGGTGAAGTCCTCGCTCTTCCTCTTCATCCTTCCTTCCAATCGTTGAAGATGAAGCGCCGCCTCCTCCGGGGTGCCCACGAAGAAGGGGTCGTGCAGGGGGGTGGTGCGGGGTCGCTTGCTCTCCGGGCTCAGCCTAATCCCTCGCTCGAGTTCTCTTGTCAGCTCTTCCGCCATCCTCCTCGCGTCCCCCTCCTCAAGCAGGGGCGACGATGAGGGATGCTTGCGCTTCATCATCTGGCGGTACATCGTCGCGACTTGGGTGAACCAGGTTCAAAAGCACTACACGACGACGGGGCTTGCAATCGAGTTGGTAATGCAGGGCTTGTTCGGCCTCCCGCAGCGGTGCCGCCCGCGTGAGGAAATGTGAAATTTCTGTGTTTGCCGCTATCCCGCGAAATTTGTAACGGCTTTCTGCCCCACTGTTTCGCTTTTTTCACAACACACAGGCGGCTGTGCGCGGCTTGGGCTTCCGGCGACAGCCGGTCCGTCACACCACACACTGCGGCCTTCATCCCACCACCCCAAGCTTCACCCACTCACGTCACCCACCTTTCACCTCACCACCCTTTCACGCACCCACCTACACCCACCCACCCACTCTCACCCACGCTCTAGACGGTTAGCGCCCGCCCTGCCCGCCCCGTCAGTGCACTTGCGCGACGGTGGTGCTCAGCTTCGGCTCTGGACCCCGCCGACCGGCCTGATGGGAGCTGTGCTCGTCCGGCCGAGTGCGAGCTGTCGTTGTCCGGCCGAGTGCGAGCCGTGGTTGTCCGGCCGAGTGCGAGCCGTGGTTATCCGGCCGAACGCGAGCCGTGGGCGGAGCACGGTCACATGGCCATGGACGCGCCGAGCCCTCCTGTCCGGCGGAGCGTGGCGGCGCCTCTTCCTCGCCCAGTGGAGTGTTGGAGGTGGTGGTGGTGCAGTGACCATGCGTTTGCGGACTGTTGAGATGAGATGGGCACTGGCGGCCTTACACTGCTGCAACACTCGCCACAACCACACAAAATGCGCTAAAACACGAGCGTTGTGGCTCTACTCGCGCGGGCTGCTCTGCTTGGTGGCGGTGGCGCGCCACAGTCTCTGGCCGTGCAGGGCGGAAGGATGGGCACAGTCCCACTTGGAGTCACCCCACGCCATTCCAAACGCCGTGCCGGTGCTGAAGCCGAACACAGTCGCCTTCAAAAATCGTCGCTCTAAAGAAGAGAGCAAAGGGAAAAAGATTGATGGAGGGGGGGGATTAGTTGCGCCCGAGAAGAGGCCCGCCTAGCACTCCACCGCGAGTTTGCCGTGCGCGATTAGAATTTGAAATGTATATGCGTACGGAAAAGGAAGGAGAGCCCCAAGCCCACAGTAGCACCGATGGGCGTGTAGATGAGGAATCGTTCAATTGCGCGGTCTAATTTGACGCCCGCATCCAACTCTCGCGGGAGGCTACGCTGCACCTGCTGCTCGGCCATTTTGAATGTAAATTCAGTAATAATCTGAACAATTTCTTTATTCTTTGTTCTTTATTTTCTGCACTTCTCCTTTCACCTTTGCCGCGTCCCAGGAAATGCCCCGAAGCCGCTTCAGAAACAACGCGAAGAGGGAGGACGGAGCGTGAAGTGTGACAAAAATAAATATTCTATTGTTGTTGTGCTGCGCAAGGCAGCTATATCTACAGGTACAAGAGGGAGGAAGTAAAATCAAAACTGCGTGATGCCCGACAGCCGGCGCTCTCTTCGCCTGGCCCGGAATCACCACCCGTCGTCGCTGTTCGTTGGCGCGGGTGCGGAGGAGCTCAGAGGATGACCTGGATGGCTCGCGGGAGGACTTCGCAGCTGAAGGGCGTGAAGCCCTTGAGCTCTCCGTCGATGTCAATCACCTCCTTGGTGATCTCCATCGTCTGGTCGTCGAACCACTCCTTGGCCTCGACGTCCGATGTCACGTCGTCGTCGGAGGCCTGTCGTCGCTCGGCGCCCTTCTTGTTGTTGTGGTTGGTCTTCTTGCCCTCCTCGCCGCTCTCGCTGTCCTCGGTGATCGGCTTGTAGGGGATGATGGTGAACTTCTTGGCCTTGAGGTAGTGGACGTGGGGCAGGTCGACGTGGGTGCCGTTGTAGAACCGGCGGAGCACGGCGAGCAGGTCCTTGG